AAAAAATGAAAAAAAAAAACAATTAAAAAAATCTCATATATATACGCATCACGCCGCTCGGTTGAGCATCAATAAATCTGAAAAAGAAATAAACACAAAAACATGTTTAAGTTGTGAAACTAAAAATTTAAATGTGCAATTATGAAAATCTCTTGTTATCCTACATATTTTTTGGGATCACAAGCATAGACTTGAAAAGAACAGTTGATCTTTGTTATATACCTGGCAAATAATTGTTACCTCAATTGACCATAAAAAAGAGAAAGCAGGAACTATGTCTTTTTGCGAAACGCTTAACAAGAAAAACGAAATATAAAAATGAAAACAAGACTAAGACCAGGATTATCTGTTGTCTGGATTTGTATATATTACCGCATAACAATTAAAGCCTACAGATATACCGATATATTCAATTCTTTTTCGATCCTTTAGTAGAAATTTCATAAAAAATACATGCATATGCATATATGTTTGTAATCAGTGTGCGAACCAAAATTGTTTTAATCGTTACTGTCCTGTTCCCCTATTTCGAATATTAAAAAAATCCGAAAAATGTACGGCTTCTCTAGTAGGCTTAAGGCATTTAAAGTTCAAACTCGGGCATCTAAATAATTTCGTTCCTAACTTGCCATCCATAGCAGCAGACATATGCTATGTAAACATTGAATGCAAAAGAAATCCTGACATGTTCTCTGGCAAAGCCTATTCGAAACTTCGCGGCTTCTATAACTATTACCAAAGAAAATGTGTACAGTAACTTCAGTCTTTACTTTGGACATCCATAAAGCTCATGAAGCGTTTATATATTCCTGAGCAATGCAGGATTTCACGCCGATCACGGAGCCGATAGTTTTAGCTGCTAACGTTTATCTTACCTCATTTCAAGGAAAAATAGACCGTTCATCATACTACTTGCAAATGTAAAACACCAAGACTTCATTAAGGAATGGTGATCGGAAAATATAAAAATTAAGACCATATTTTTACGAAGTAAATTTGTCTCTTATTCTTGATCGGGAAAATGCCATCACGATCGGCGAAATAGGCGCTTAAGTTAGAGAAGCAAACTTTATAGTTTTGTCGGCAAGAATAGACAATCAGATCTCGTCTTGTTCGAAAGCTATATCTACTAGTCATAGTAAAAGTAACTATATATATAATAATGGATCCACAAGATTACGCCTCAAAAGGAAGAGGACAGGCGTACTTCCCATATAATCCTTGGGCTCAAATTCGATTGAGCTAAACTATGCTTAGTCGCAACTATAGTCGGTGATCGCTTGATGAGGTCACGGCATTTATCAATTGCAGGTACATTCATCAGGTTGCGGCCACTCCTTAACACTTTCTCTTGTCCCATTTGTTTCTGATCGTCACCGTTTTAATCCACGTACAAACGACATCCCCCGAGTGAGTGCTCATATTAAAAAAAATTCGAGCCAGAACTTATGAAATTATATAATAAATCACTTAATAAGTTTCTAGGGTGACATATGAATGTCGTTACTATTGACGAATTCATATCATGAACCATGTCATGAAATGTTGAGACATTCGTTTCAGCAGCTTGTTGCTCTTTAAAGGTCACATGGATACGTCCTCTTGCATCTATCAAATCAACCGATAAACTTATTGAGTAAGGCATTATATAATATATATCATAGTCTGACCTACCTAACTTAAAAAAAAATGTTTTTTGAATGACGATCTTTTTTCTTACTTCACCTTAATCTAGCTCACGAAACGAAAATAATTATTGATGTGCGTTTAACCGTTATTTATGCTATTTTTTAAGCAAAAAGATGTTCGCTTTACTAATTGTGTGAAAAGATTTTTAATTCTGCATATGCCTCCTAACAAAAAAGAAATAAATAAATAAATAAATTCTTTTTTAAATCTTAAAATAGAAAAATCCGTAAGATTTAAATATTAAAAGTTTATCTATGCACGATTGCATTTATATAAACCCATCGGGATTAGAAACTTCTATAGTTGAAGAAAACAATCAAATGCAAAAATATTATTGCGTGTAAGTAAAAAAAATACAGGCTCAAACGCACACACATCTACACAGGTATGTATATACATAAGGGCACATATGCTGATTAGATGTTGTATTTTTACAGTTGGCCACTTGACACGGAACAACCACTTACTTACTCTTTCCCTTGCCACTCTTTTCGTTATGCCTGCCTCTCCCACTCTCTCTCTCTCTCTCTCTCTCTCTCTTTCTCTCTCTCTCTCACTCTCAATGCACGTCTCACTCGCTCCCCTTCTCCCCTAACGATTTGCGGGCCTGGCCGATACTGGCGAAGCGCGCTATCATATAAATGAAATCATCAAAAAAACAAAAAAAAACAAATATGAAAAAGGGTGTGAAACTGAAACCTATTAAAAAAGAAGTCAGACAACATAACCACTTGAAAATCTCGTTATCCTGTCATTTGCAAACATCAATGCATGAAGAAACGCACGCTGCCAATCATTCAACACTAAACGAGGCTAGCGCGAACGCATTATTTTCTTATCAAGCTGTCAAATGCTTATAATTGAGATTTTGTTTTTCTTTCCTCCTTTTATCAAGTGCGAGTCGAGCGGCGGTATCATAGAGTCACTGTATAATAAATTGCGGTGAATTCAATTAACACTGATTAGAGTAAAGAGAGAACGAGAGAAAAAAAAAAAAAAACAAGCATTTTAAGAACATATACCGCCCTCCAGCTTAACATTAATAATACGGAACTAGTTATGAGCTTAAGATTTATCTCTCGGTAAATCCTCACCGCCTACAAAATTTATTCACATTCTAATCATTTAAACTCATTCGCAATTATAATCTGCATTAATATATTAATATACATATATATGGCGTAGACATATGTTTGTCCTTGCTTTGGCATGTATATGTGCATGTGTGCGTGTATGTGTGTGTGTGTGTGTGTTAGTCACTCTTGTTAAGTTTGTATTAAATTTCAAAATTTGTTTTTCTTTCCCGTCCTTAAGTGATCTCATTGTTTTGTGTCCTCAATTTATAATTTAATTGAAATCCTTTTAAAAGTAATGAGATCCTCCCGCTCAGCATGTGACCAAACAACTCTACTTAGAAGGAGTTAAACAATGCAATACAATAAATCCTTGCAGTAGTTGCCTTCTTAGCCTTTTCGTTACATACTCACGCACCATATATGCGTACATCTGCCAAGACTTCTTCTAATAGTATGATGGTCTGTCTGTCTGGGCCTTTTTTTTTTTTGTTATTATACAAAAAACACACAATAGAGTGATTTCCTAGTTAAAGGATGCATACTAGAAAGTTAAAGGGAACTTGGCTTAACAACACGTATTAAATTTTAATCTTCTACTAGCAATTATTTGCTATTAGTTATGATCCCTATTGCACCGTTATCTTATCTAACTCACTCTCGCTCACTCCCATTCTTTACTTTGATGGTCTTAAGTCGGATCAATTAAAATTGCGATAGTAAGTGTATGGAAAAAGACATAAGTCTAGATTCCATGAAACATTTTTTGATGAAATTTAAGGAAAAGAAATAAAAAGAGATTGTAGTGGGCCACACCCACCCCAACCATTAAACATTCTACACCACTCTACTGTTATTCATATAACGACTGCTCCAAATACGACTTTATGTGATTATTATATGAGAAGTGTTCGAAAAATGGGTTCGATTCGAATCACTTTCAGGGCCAAAGCACGTCGGTGCACCAAGTTTCATCAAAATACCTCAAACATTGCAATTTGTAAGTTGAACATAAGGTTACAACGCGGATACATGGGCCGACAAACTTTTTTCTGTTTATTACATTTGACTCAACCACAAAGCGATAAAATTTTCGTATCTGGGATTCTGAAAATCCAGTGAGTGATTTTGGAGAAACGAAAGCATCCGCAACGTTCCACTGTCTGGTGCGAGTTTTAGGTTGGATGGTCAGGCAGCAACAGTTAATAGTGTTCGCTATCATGACATGATAACCGAATTTTCGGCATGAGTAGCCAAGTAGATAAGAATCACGACAAGTCAGAGTTCGCGAATTTAGGTCTAAACGCGTTAGAGCACATTTGGTCGCAGCTATAATGAATGCTCGGTCGGTAACGGCACAACACGTACTGATTGAACATGCACCCGCGTACGCAACTAGAGTTTTGATCAAGTTTATAAAAGTGCATGACTTCCGCAACTTTACAGAAATCAAGTAGGGATCGAATTTAAGTCGGTTTTTGGGACCTTGAATAAATTTCAAGTTCGTTGAAATCCGAGAATTCAGAATTCGGATGGAATATAAACGTTATACATATTGTTAAGTGAAGCATTGGCGGCAAAAAAATTTGGTGTGGAAGGTGATCAATTTTTTGTTTTTGTTAGAGACAAAAAATCTCTAAGATAAAGAAATCATGACACAAACTTCGGCCGAGTTCGATTATTAGCAAAGAATTGTTTCTGGATTCGGTACAGAAACAATACTCACTTCCGATGTGGGCATAAGCGCCTGTCCCTGGAGACTTTAATGTCCCGCCTTTCGAGAGAGATAGTGCGTCCTTGTGGCCAAACCATATTTCGCAGATTGACTTTTGTAGGCTTATAGGTGATACACAGTCAATGGATTCACCGGCACATTTGTGATCTCCTGCAGAGAGTTTGCAAATATATTACCGTAGCCCTCTATCTACAGCGTACACAAGCCTAGGAAGAGAATCACGTAGTTGAAAGTTAGCTTCCGCTTAGGACCGCTGAATGCAAGAGCGAAAATTATCGAGTAATCACGCCTACAAAATTTAACTGTCACTTGGATTTGAAAGCATAATGAAAGCTAACTTTCAGCTACGTGATGATTCCTCTCTATTTTTCATACGTAATTACCTCCATGGAAATAAGAGTGAGAGAGAGAGAGAGAGAGAGAGGTTTTATCCACAAAGTCTTAACTCTTATTGCAAAGAAGAATATCGACAGAAAAATTGTATAAAATGATGAGTTGGCATCTCTAACATATTCTGGTTTATGTTGTTCAACGATTCAGGTGTTATTTTGTGCAATTTGTTTGTCATTTATTATTTTCTTGTTTTGTGAAAAATTGGAATACATTTACTATTAAACAGCATGCCACATATGGTGACAATGGAAAATGGTCAAAGTCAGACCATCCAAGAAATGTTAGGTTGCATTGAAAGGTAAACTATGCATTTAATTAAATTGTAAGACCATAACCTAAAATTCATAATTATCAGATACAATCCCGACCATTTGAAGACATTGGAAGCATACGTTGAAGATCAAGCTAGAGGTAATACCTACGATTTGGAAGCTAATCTAGCCGTTTTGAAGTTGTATCAATTCAATCCACATATGTTGAATTTCGATATTACTTATACGATCCTCTTGAAATGCTTAACTAACTTACCACACACTGATTTCGTCATGGCCAAATGTTTGTTGTTGCCACAACAGATGAAAGATGAGACGGTTCAAATTATAATTAATTTAGCTGATATATTAGAGCGAGCTGATTTCACTTTATTCTGGCAAAGAGCGGAAGTTAATCAAACTTTGTTCCGACATATTAACGGCTTTCATGATTCTATACGAAAGTTTGTATGCCATGTCGTTGGTACTACCTTCCAAACTATTAGGAAGGAATTATTAAAGGAACTATTAGGAGGTATCGAAGGTAAGTAAATATTGAATAATAAATAGGAAAGATTGTAAGAGCCGTAATTTTTTAGATTCAACTTTGGATCAATGGATGAAAAAATATGGTTGGAAACATCAAGGAAGCTTAATATTGATAGCAGCACAAGACGACAAAATTAAAACCAAGAACATTACCGAAAAGATTGAGTTCGACAACCTGGGAGGGCTGATGGCTCAATGTTTGTAAAAGCCGCCTATTTCTAACGTATTATGCACGAAAAGTTTTGGTTTTTTTTTTGAGAAATGTGTAAAATACGACTCCGCAACTACTTGTACATAAACTTTAAATGTATCCATCACATTTAAAGGTATGAAACATCAGTTGTGCAAAAGATCGTATAATAAATACTTTATAACAAACTATTCCGGAAAGCCAAAGTTTTTTTTACTCTAGTTAAATAAATATTTTCACTAGACTCGACAAATAAATCTCTAGGAGAACACAGACTTTATTGGATTAGAAAGCAAATTTCAACGGGGAAAAAACAATTAGTACCGAATCACTCTGTTAAGATTGCTTTTTAAATTTTTTCAGAATAGGAAATATTTTATCAAAAGCTTCGTAGATTTCAGTGCGCACTTTAGCTCCCGTCAGTACCACTTTGCCAGATACGAAAATCAAGAGTACAATGCGAGGTCGCACCATGCGATAAATAAGGCCCGGAAAAAGTTCAGGTTCGTAAGAACTGAAATTGCAATGGGTGAGCACCAAACCTTCCAGCCGTATAGGGAATTTAACATCGCACGATCCGACCATATTTTGAATTTTAAAATCCAAGAATTTAGCCTGAAAGGTTAACTATGTGACAATATTTGAAATATACTAACATTAAGTGGACTTACTGGAAATCCCAATTTTTGTATAATACGCGCATATTTGCGGGCAGCCAGTCGGGAGTCATCTTCACTTTTAGCTCCAGTACAAACCATTTTACCCGAAGAGAATATCAAAGCAGTCGTTCGAGGCTCTCTGATACGCATAATTACTGCCGCAAAACGTTTGGGATTATATTCGGCATTACGAGCATGCAAAGCTATCTTTTTAAGATCCAATTTACAGCATAAATTAACAGTAGACACAATATTTCTAGTAAATGATTTTAAGAGAAATTACGAACACAACATTTGACAAGGAGACATAGTATAACATACTGTAATTGGGGCAATATTCCAGGATCTGCGGAACCCGGTGTCATTGGTGTCATAGGTGTCGCAGGACCCATGGTTTGGTGTATTTTACTTAAACTTAAATTTTCAGGACATTCGCTCATTGGAATCATCGGTGACATAAGGCTTTGCTGAAAACAGACCGTTTTGTTAAGCATTTGTTTGGCTTATTGCAAACGGTGGCTTACCGGTGTTTGTGGCTGCATCAGTAATTGAGGGGCATTAGCTACGTTGCTAGTGCTCGCGCCACTACCACTACTACCTCCACCACCACCGCTAGCACTACTACTGTTTGTTGTAGAATTTTGATAAGTGGACTGATACGGCTGCATTTGTTTATGTGCAGCGCTACCATTGCCGGTGTTTGTCGATGGCGTATTTCCAGCCCCCATTATATGATTTAGGTCATGACTATATATATTGTTGCTCGTCGTGCCATTATTTCCTGTGTGAAGTGTGTGACCATTCCCAGTATTCAAGCCACTATTATTTGCCGCCGATGGATGATAAACAGGATTCGCTATAATTTGTTGATCGGCTTCCATTTGATGCAAAGGTGTACCAATACTGGGTATAGAAAATCCGGGACTCAACATTTGATCCATATTGATTTTATTTTTGTTTTTCTTTCACCCAAAAGATTAAACCAAGTTGTTAGTTTAAAGCATTAAACCCGAGTTTCTATCAAGGCTGGGATCAATCAATTTGTAATACTTTATATGCGAGGACACTAAAGTCTCAATTAGGCTGAGGATGTCGTCTTAAACCTTTTAAATAAATTTCTCGTCTTTTTTTTGGAATTTTTACTAATAACAACGAACTGCAATATATTTTTTACGCCGCTTAGAAGGCTTGCCAGGTTTTTTTTATTCTTATTGTTTGATTACAATAATTCGATTGAAAAAAGCCGGCAATCATGAAAAGCGTCTATTGTGATTTGTTGTTGTTAAAAAATAAGAAGACGAGATACACAGTGTTAGATGTATAAATTTTTCCAGTTGGTGGTTGTTAAAGAAAATTAAAAAATTGATTTTTATCAAATAAAGTACTGAGAAAGACAATAAAAAATGTAAAATATTTTCATAAAACTTTTCAACGGCGGCATACTTTTATAAAACAATTATAATAGAAAGCGTATAAAATATTGGCTTAAAAAAAGCAAAAGCGGTGAGTAATGTTTTATTTTTGTCAGCTTTTTTTCATAAGCACTCCAAGGTCATACGCAATAACTTTAGGTGCATAGGGTTCACTAATTGCGTCCGCTAATTCTAGCGTTTATAAATATAAGCATCCATTCATTAATATAAATAATCGTATATTTGATTATTGATTTTTACCATTTATTTTTCTTTTCCTTTTCAATTGTTTTGTTTGACAGTTGTTACGACAACCACAAACTAGACGTAGAAATCCTATCGTGTTACAATGAGTGCTAAAACAAGAAGACCTGGTACCGCAGGTAATCAAACACTTAATGAATGCGTCCAGGTAGTCGTAAGATGTAGGCCCATGAGCAACCGGGAGCGTACAGAGGGTTCCGAAGAAGTTGTCACCGTTTACCCGAATCGTGGAGTTATTGAAATCGCTAGCATTTCAGACTCTTACAAGGAGCAACGCAAAATGTTTACTTACGATGCGGTTTACGACGCCGGAGCATCCCAGACTACTGTCTACAATGAGGTTGTGTTTCCTTTAGTGAGCTCCGTGCTTGAAGGTTATAATGGTTGCATTTTTGCTTACGGTCAAACGGGTACAGGAAAGACCTTCACTATGGAGGGTATACGCGGCAACGATGAGCTCGTCGGCATTATTCCAAGAACGTTTGAGCAAATTTGGCTGCATATCAATCGTACCGAGAATTTCCAGTTTCTGGTCGATGTTTCATATTTAGAAATTTACATGGAAGAATTAAGAGATCTATTAAAACCTAACTCTAAACATTTGGAAGTAAGAGAAAGCGGTTCTGGTGTTTACGTGCCCAATTTGCATGCTATCACCTGCAAAAGTGTAGACGACATGATGAACGTGATGAGAATGGGTAACAAAAATCGTACCATTGGCTTTACTAATATGAACGAACACAGCTCCAGGTGGAAAATGATAGAAAATAAAAGATCGAATAAGATAATAAAATTTTTTATTTTGTTTCAGATCTCATGCTATATTTATGATTAAGATAGAAATGTGCGACATCGCCACGAACACCATAAAAGTGGGAAAATTGAATCTTATTGATTTAGCTGGAAGTGAGCGTCAAACAAAAACTGGGGCCTCCGCTGAAAGATTAAAAGAGGCGAGCAAAATCAATTTGGCTTTGTCATCGTTGGGCAACGTTATATCGGCTTTAGCTGAGGGATCTCCCCATGTTCCCTATCGTGATTCAAAACTGACCCGTTTGCTTCAAGACTCTTTGGGGGGTAATTCTAAAACCATTATGATTGCAAATGTTGGACCTTCAGCGTATAATTATAATGAAACATTAACCACGTTGCGATACGCTTCGCGTGCTAAGGCCATACAAAATCAACCGGTTAAGAACGAAGATCCACAAGATGCGAAGCTTAAGGAATATCAGGAAGAAATTGAGCGTCTCAAGCGTTTAATAGGTTCTAAGCAACTGCAACAAAAAGTAGAAAAACCAATTAAAAGAAGCTTGAAAAAACCAAAGATAGAAAAGAAAGAAAAACTACGCCGTGAATTGGAGGAAACAACCCCTAACCACTTTACAGTTGAAAACGATCCTGGAAGAGAGGAAAAAGAAATCGAATCAGACAAAGAAAACGAAGTAGAAGAAGAGGTGGCAAAAACTAATGAACAGCTGGAATGTGAGCGATTGGAGACCGCGAAATTGGCTGCTAAACTTGCGGAGCTCGAATCTCAACTTGTGCAAGGCGGCAAAAACTTACTTGATACTTATAGCGAACGTCAAATTGAACTGGAAAAAAAGTTGGTGGAAATAGCGGAGCGCAAAAAACGTGAAATTGAGATGCAGCAAAAATTGGAATTGCAAGAGGAAACTACTTTGGAAATAAGAGAGACAGTGACATCATTGGAGCAGGAAGTCGACTTAAAGAAACGTAAACTTTCTAAATGTTATGCTAAATATTTGGCGTTGCAACAAGAGCTAAATGATTGCAAATATGAGCACAACCAGGATTTGAGGGAGCTGGAAATGGCCCAAAATGAACTTGTCAAGGAATTAAAACGTCAATTATTGATTATTGACAACTTCGTGCCAATAGAAGTGAAGCAAAGACTTTATACCCAAGCTAAATACGACGAAGAACAAGAAGAATGGAAATTTTCAACTTTACCTCTTAATTGTGATGGAATTTACAGCAACAAACGACCAGTGTCTCATCCCCAAAGGCGTCGACCCATCTCAGAATATGCTTTATTGGAAGCCAAGTCCGGTTCGAATGAGGCAGCCTTACGTTTCAAAAGTGAAAACATAGTATCCTATGAATTGGAAATGCCATGTCGCACAACTCAAGAGTACCGATCTCCGAAAATCTCTGCCTCTTTACAGGCGGTACTAGCCCAGGCCATGCAAACAGGAGATGATATTGATATAGTAGACGCACACACAAATTCCATACGTAGCCGACTGGAGAGCATAATTAATGCCAATGCCAGTGCGGCCACGGCTGCGACCACGAATGGTCATGCATTGAACAACTCAAGTTCAAGGAATACAAAATCTACCCGTAACATTAATGGTGTGTCCTCAACAGCTGCATTGGATTCTAACAGGAGACCACCAACTGGCCGTTCGCAGTTGAAAAAGCCCCCTTCTGCTTATCCCAAAGCCAGAGGTCTAATTAATAAATGAAGAGGTCTAGTCAATAAATGAAGCTATTCGTCACGTCTTTATTCGACTTAAAAAAAATTAACTTACTTTTGCTGTATTATCACGTATTTATTTTACCACATAATTCGCGTGCATACCATTGTCACGTCAAGGACACTTAACATTCTTCTAAAGCATTTGCTCATTGCTTCCTTTTTTTTTCTTTCGTTTTTGTGGTGCAATTTAGTATTAAGTTTTTATATTTATTTTTTGCTATATTTTAAATAATTTAAGCTTTTTAATGAGTTTCTTCTAAAGCACAAAATATTAAGCATAAAAATATACAAATGACCACTCCCACAAATTACTTGCCGTTTTTAATAATCAGGAAGGAAAGCATGGTAGTAAACATAAATTTATTTGCAATCTATTTATCTAAATTATTTATTCCGGTTTTTTCTATCATATCCAACAAAAGTTGTAATTTACTATCAAAAAGTTCGCAACGTATTGGCATTTCTAATGAGTAAAATGGATTTTTAAGAGCATAGTCCGAGTAAAGTTCGTAGATTTTCCGTAACAAAATGTCCATGCCAACCAACCCAGTTTCACTAACTACTATAAATTTGACGCCAGTTAATGTTTGAAAACAATGCAACGTAAAGGTATCTGTTTCAAGCAATTCTATTCCCGAACTCTTATTCTCGGGACTTAGTTGACTTGCAATGGCAAACAACGGATAAAACATACTCGCTAAGAATATCTTTTCATTGGTGGTCATTTTAGGACGACCGAATTTTAAATTTAACGGATAATTATTTGCAGTTTCCAAAAGAGTTTTCACATCACGGCCATCTTCTAAAGTGGCACCATTCACCGCCATGCCATTTACAGCTACCAGTATATGGCCGACTAAATAGTGAAAATAGTGTAAGGTGACATTACAAACAAGTTTCATAGCAACTTACCATTAATACCATCTTTACGATTGAAGACCACAGAAACTTTTTTGGGACTATAATCCAAAATAATATCTAAAGGATATGTGAATGTTTTTTCATGTTCAATACGCGGTACGTTGTTATCCAAATTAAATATTAGACCACCAGATTTACTAACAATATAAACTCCGTATATAATCATCTTGAATGTTAAACTAAATCGATTTGTTGTTGTAAATAAACAAACAAGAACTGTCAGTTGTTTTAAGCAGCTGTTGATATTCGTAGCTCGTTCACATTAAACAGTTTTGAAGAGGACGTTTTTTTATCCTAATTTTACTATTATTCGTATTTAAATCATTGCTAATTACATGGCTTGGCATCTCTGGTTATGTTATTTTGTTCTGCTATATAATAGGTTGGAGGGAAAGCTCCGTCGTATTTTAGGTAACCTATTCCTGTTTTGTAGAAGTTCTCGTCCTTGGTGTTAAAGTAGTCAGCAACTGCCTTAGAAATACTTTCAAAAGACTTTTTTTTCCCCTTAGATAACTTTGCAGAGATCTGAACAGGTAACAATTAGATGGTGCAATGTCGGGGGAATACGGTGGGTGACTGGGAACTTCCCATTAATTTTCATGTCCAGTAATTAGCTTGTCCAAAAACGGCTCAGCGCTGTGCTTAATCAAATGTGATGAACACATTCTAACACGATCAGAGAAATTCTTTTCCGTTAATTCATGTGGAACCCAAACACTTTGCTTTACCACAAACTCAATGTGATCGTCTCTTATGTGAGATTGATGACTCTAAAAAGCTTAACAGACTTGTGGGTGATCAAACGTGCAACAATGTCTTTTTGAAAATGACTCGAGAAGTGCGGCATGGAAGAGTCGGCTGAACACTCCGTTTTTGGATGCAGAAAATTTGAAATCATTAGGCGGCCTTTTAATATTTTTAATATGTGCAACAATCTGTCTGAAATCTTTCGTGCTGGCAACAACGCTCATCTCAAGCAGCTGACTTCTTTTATCAAACATAATTTTCATTTTAATTCAACATTGACCTAACTAAACAATAACTAATCAATTAATACATCATCATATTTCGTTGACAACATTTATAAAAGCACAGAATAAACAAATAACAAAAGTTCAAAACTCTACTGGATGGATTAGTGTTATTGTCAACAGGCTCAATCCATTCATTTTTAAAAAAACAAAAAATAAATAGCTATTTTACGGCAGATTTGGAAAAAGAGGTTTTATATCCACAAAATATATAAAAAATGGGATCCAATGATACTTCTGCAGAGTCTAACGAACAAGGCGATCGGGGCGAGAAAATTCATAAAGGTTTTCAAATCAATTACATGATTTTAAGAGATGCTGATACGGGGAAGGTCATTTGGCAAGAAAACAAAGATTTCTCATCTCCTGATATTGAACATGAAGCCCGTGTACCTGTCAAGATATTGGATTTGAGAGCAGTTTCACGTGAAATTAATTTCAGTACTATTGAAGCAATGGAAAATTTCCGATTGGATCAAAAAGTTTTATTCAAAGGACGTATAATGGAAGAGTGGTTCTTCGAAATGGGCTGGGTAGGAGCAAACACAACGAACACTTGGCAGTCAACGATTGAAGCTGCTCCAGAATCCCAAATGATGCCCGCAAAAGTTTTGAACGGAAACGTCACCATACAAACCAGTTTCTATGACAACGATACACTCATAACAAAGTCTGTGGTGCGCTTGTATTACATATAGATTATTTAAAAATGAACTGACGATCATCGATAACGTCATCACTTTTGTATTCGTATACGTAACCCCCACGTACAATATTTAACATTTGATCTCTACAGCCAACATAAGAAACAAATGCGGTGCGGGACGTTAAAAAGCATACAGCATTATTTCTAAAGTTTGCTAATTTATTTTAAGCATTTCTCCATATACTTGCAATTTATAAGCATTTGAATTTTTGCCTCCTTGATTAACGAATAGCCGCTTACGTTATGCATACAAATGGTTCTACATTTTCTTAAGTGATAAAAATAGATTATAGTCTTTGTTTTTTCTTTTTGCTAACATAACGTAAAATACTAATATATTCACACTAGTATTAAGTTGCAAAAAAAATAAATTTAATAAAAATATATAAATAAACTGTTAACTTTCAAAGCTATACATATTGGCAGCATAAGATCAAGACAATACTGAGCATTTATGAGGCAACTTTTTTTTTTGCGATATTACCAAACACTCTGGAAATCTCTCCAATAGAGGACTTTGTCGTAAGTGCAACTTTTTGAAAATTATTTAATGTCTACGCAGGTCTCGGACGTTGTATCAGCGTTCTTACGTCCATGTAAAATGAAAATTATGGATGACATTATAAAAATCGTAAATCTCTTACGGGATGTTGCGATATTTTCAAAAATTTGGAGAGTGAATCAAAGCAACACTAGCATTGTGGAAGCGGATATTGATAAAGTAGCAAAAAAAAACATTCATTAAAAAAATTTTAAAATAATTGCGAGCCTCTACGAATCGGCTCGTACCTGAGCGCAGCGTAATGGATGTGTGTCCAATCGGGAAGTACAGTGCCTTTATTGATTGAGCGCCCACATTATAGTTACGGCGAATGTGGCTGAATGTCATCAAAATGAAGTGGCATTGCATCAGACCCTCAAAAAAGCACCTTGAACTCAGACTCATCATCGGCCACAGAGGCTGTAGCTGATGGCACTTACTATAACAGTGTTTTGAGTTCTTTGTGCAATGCCAACACTACAGCAAAATAAATAAAACAAAAATTATTACAATAAAAAAGATATATATATTTCGCACCTCAATTTCTCACACTAACAAAAATCGAACATCAATTTTCCACACTTTAAAAGAAACCGAAGCGTTGCAATTTATTGAAAGCAACTCTGTGCTCTCCATTCTGCACACATGTTACTTTTTTTTATAAACCTTGTAAACGAGAAAAAACAGCTAACGGTTTTTAAGGAGAATCAAAGCCATTTTATAAATGCAGAAATAAGTTGTGCCAAGCGATTGCAAAACAAATAAATATATTATAAAAAGGAAGGGAAATACCAAATAAAATTTTATATTGCATTAAAAATTACTATTGTGTTAAATAAATTTAAAATATTTGGTGAATCTATATTTTATATATTGGCAAGAAGACCCATCCGAGATTCATACAGTTTCCCTGGGAGTCTCGTTGGTGTCTTATAATCTTGGTATATTAATAAACTTTCCGTCTTTACTGAAGATACGATAAAAGACAAAACGTTTTGGTCAATTTTTAATAATGCCATATAAGTATGTTTGCTGGAAGGTATAATGAAAAGAAAAGTGAAATCCATACACTGAGACAATTTTTTTTATAAAATCTGAGAGAATTTATAAATTCTCACGCATACCAAAGAAACAGATTTTTACTTGGATCTTCAGTTTTTAAACGCGCCCTGACATTATATACTTTAGAAAAATTCTTCAAAAAGCCTAACATGTGCAAAATAACTTTACCAATGCCTAAATATAGTAAATGATTACGATTAACATTTCATAATTTGTTTGGTCATATCTATCCAATTTGCAACAACAACTAACTTTTTTCATATCTATTAATATTTTTTTTTTTTGTTTACTTTTCTAATCAACTAAGTCATGCTTTAAAGTATTATGTGTTTGTTTGGTTGATTTCCTTTGTTAAAATGCAAACAAATCGGTAAAAGCATATATATTTAACTCCATATTAACTGTCTGCTCGATGTTAAAATCATAAAGTAGATGTTAAATGCTATTGGAGGTAATTAAAATATTTAGCCATGTTTTGCATAAATATTGTGTTGTATGTTCATTTATGTAATATTTAAATGAACGCAAGCATATGTAACACGATTACAGAAAAGCAATTAACACATATACGTACATTACAAAAATCAAATTTATTTTCTGTTTGGATTTTGATTTTCGCAAAAATGTCTTTTGTTCAATTAAGTAAACAGTGAAGTTTTGCTGGAATCGGTTTTCGTTTAAGTAATCCTCCATTTTGTCACTGTTTTGTCTTTTCTCCAGAGATTTTCTCTTTAAATCCTCAAGCATGCAGTTATACTTATGTGTTTGCTTATTAATTTATTTAAGTATGCATTTAGCCAGAGAATAAATTCTAGGACTAAGTCTTCAAGCACTAGCATCTAAGGCTTTCGGCTTTTATTGAAAACTCTAGCTCATTTGAGATTTGAACCCACGACCATTGAGTTGCTAGGCGAGACTTTGCCTACACGGCTGCTAAGGCGGATAAGTATGTATTTATGCAACAATGATACAAATGAACTCCTCCCTGTTTTTCATAAATTGACAAGTAGTTTGCTTTAAAAGAACTGTTACAGTTTGATGATACCTGCACAGTGTTCCTTTTAAAGCAGAACTCTTTTGTATTGTGTTTTAAATTAAAAAGAGAGATTCCAAAAAATTGTATAAACAACCAAAAGCCGAGTTGATAACATTTAGTTTATAAGATTTAGCATGTATTGGAATTTGACAATTATTTATTTTGATACCATGGAAAAAATTTCGGACAGACTATGTTGTCAATTATTTAGAGAATATTCCGACTTTTGAAGCGGTGATGGACGTAGGCTATGCAAAATACTGTGTAAGAGGTTAGTTGACCAACTAACAATGCAATTAGGTATAGTTTGAGAAGGGTGGATAGAAGACGGGGCGGTCAGCCAACAATGGTAGACTATATTTGGTACGCGTGAGAATTGGGATTGGCGCGAGTGGTGAAGACGATGACGGGACAAATACGTGACAACAAAAATGTACGGATTGAGACTGACAGCGAGGAAGCGGTAAATAAAGTGACTGATAACGAAGACAAGTTAGGTTTTCTAGGATTTGACGAAAAAGAAAACCTGTTGACAGAAGTGGAGGATAAGGTAGCGGGGGAAGAAAAAGCGACGGACGTGCAGGAGAGACTTGAAAACAAGCTGCGATTACCTTCTCATCAATAAAATGAATTATGAAGTTGAAGAAGGGTCCAAAGAAGAGTTCACACCGTTCGAGCTCGATGGGGAGGTGATTAAAGATCTGCACACACTTGAGCTGTATAACAACGAAAAGAAATACCTGCAGCTGCTCACGGCTGCGTTCTTCTATTTCAGCATAGATAACTTCCACCAGCAACGTAAATCAAAAGGAAAATCAGGTAAAGAAGGACGCAAAGGTAAGTTTGCATTTACCCTTTCTTAATATTATGTGTAAATTGTTCACTTGCTTTTATTTCATTTTAGATTTTAAAAAAAGCATACGCACTATTGCTTCAGCAGAATGCGATACTTACATAAGCCAATGGTAAGTTTGTGATCATCTTCATAAACAAAATTACGCCAGCCATTCGACACAATTGGCAAAGCGCCTATCACGATGCCTCAAGGGTGGTGTGGAGAATCGTGATAAAAGATCGTAAACAAAATTCCTATACCACCCGAAATATTTAATAATATTTAATACGGTTTTGAGGTTTAACTCTGTTTAATTTTGACATGTTTAAAAATGTTTAATGATGTTTAAGAATGTTTAATAATGTTTAATAAGCTTTACTATGGTCCATAGTCTCCACGTGCCCGCTAGCATGATAATGATAATATTGCGATCATAAATGTGCGCTTTCTCTAAGTGACAAATTCTGAAGGAAATAAAAACCCTATAATTCTCTACATAATAATATTTAGAGAATTATGCACACTCGTCGTAGGTAGAATCCTGATTAGGCAATTGAGAAAATGATCATGCGAAAATGCTAAGCCAGCAGCCAGAGGAACGACGGAGATTAGTTTCAGGATGACGTTTTGTAAATTATAATATATATTGCAAAAGCAAACTTGGTTTAAATAAATGTGTCTGCCTGCCCGTTCATAGCGCTAATACAAAAAGAATCTTATGTAAAAGTGTTCCGAAATGAGTTCAAATTTTTGTACACATAACGAAGACTTCTAATAGAGGCGAGTGTCTGCTGTAAGACTTCATTCCAATAAAATGAAATTTTACTTCAATTCGGAAAACATTTTGTGTCTTTCTTCTTTTCGTTTTCCCTCCTTACCTCTTTTTGGTACGTTTCATATATAGATTACCAGGATCAATTTTTAAATTTATGACTTTCCGAACTTCAAAGAATTATTTTCATTATTAAGGTTTTCTTTAATCAGTGGATGTAGGCTTCATTCTGAAGAAGATTTCATTTTAAAGAAATATTTAAAAATTTATAAATTTGATAAGAGTAAAGGAGATTAAAAACAAAGATGATTTAAAACAAACGTGATCGCAATAAATCTCTGCAAGAAACTCTGTTAAGTCGTAAGGAACCCGTTAAAATGTTAAAGCAGCGTAAGAAACTCTGTTAAAAAGCAAAGCCGTTGGTTAAATACCATTTTGATAGTTTTGCAAATTTAAGTTTATTGCGCAAAAATAAAGTAGCTTCTGGCAACCCTGACAAAAAACTCTTGCATTGCTTATATCGTATATATAAGAACTCCTAGCGGTGAGAACGTAACCAAAGGAAAATTGTAAATGTCAAAGAAGAAATACTGAAATATATTTTTTAAGAGAAAAATTATTTTAAGAAAATATAAAAAAATCTTATATAAATTCAAATTGAGAAGAATAAAGCCATTAAATCTGTTTAAAATAAGTTTTTATCAAAAACAAAAGAAAAACTGCAAGAATTTTATTTTGCTGCAGCGATGATAAACAGTAGAACAGAAATGTAGAAAAAACAAGATAAACAAAGTAAGCATCTTTAAAAAAAAAAAAATAAATAAAGACAGAAGTATAAAACAGTTTTGAACAACAGCTAAAGTCGAGATAATGGAGAAATCGAGCACGGTTCACGGTTTTTCAACCACCTTACCCTTCCTTCGCTCACAGCAAGAGTGCCAATCTCCAACATAGCGTATTAGCAATTAGTGTTGTTTTACTCGCTTGGCGTCTTGGTCGAATCGTAAAGTGGTATATAATGAATAAGTGGTTGTACATGTAATTTGCTTATGGGCTTGGAAATTGTCCGTCGCTCGAAACGTGAGTTCAGCATTTCGAATTTTTCAGTGATTTGGCTTGGATTAAGTATTTGAGTGTGTGTGTGTGTGTATGTGTGCATTTGTATGTTATATGTACTATATACATATATATATATATGTAGAGTTTTTCGCGTTTATGCCTTAAAGAAAAATCAAGTTAGCACGCAATGTATGAATTTGCGTTTTTCTTGTTGTTGTATAGCGTAGATTGTGTTGGGTCTGTTTTTGGTAGTCTTGGAGGTTCGGTTAAGACTCTGTTCTTCTGTTGCATGGTATAACTCTGGCACAGCAAGGTAGTACAATTAAATACAGAATGCGCGACGAAATTTTCTTGTGTCTGTATTTTTGTTACCATGAATATTATGTTGTTGTTATCGTTGTTATTTCAACTTTATTGTGCTTGAATGATTTCGGTATATGTATCAGAAGATTAACTCGGCTTTTGGTTTTTGGCTGAGCGGTACGTTTAGTTTTATGCATATGTTTGTCAAGGCATAACTGAAAATGTTGAGCCTCTCTTTGTGTGCATTCCTCTCCTGTGTAAAATTGCCTGCCAGTTTGCCCAATGTCTTCCTGTTGAATGCGAATCTAGTTTTCGACGTCATTTTTTCCATACATGATCGCTGAGCTGATAGGCTTAGGCTTAGTTTGTCGAGTTGTACACCGATATATATGCTCTTGTTCATGCACATCACATACCTGTGTATGTATATGTAGGCATCATTTGTCGAGTGCTTAGTCGAGTAGAAACAAAAAAAATGTTTTTTCTGCTCTTGCTTTTTTTTTTTTGTCTTTATTCAGTCAAGTCGTACTCTGTGCATCAGTGTTTTTGCGTTATGGTGATGCAGTGAAATCCAGTTGTGTTTCGAGAGTTGCTGGAAAACAACGTAAAGGAAAATCGCTGTTTTCTTTTAGTTTTGGATTTTCTCAGGCGATAGCTCGCACATAAATAGAAACCCACACACGTACAAATTTACGGGTTGCGTGTTGCGCGACTTTTAATTAAATATCGCAAATGAATGTTCAGTTGAGTATGTGTGTGTATATATAAGCATGAGTAAGTGGCCCGAATTCAATCAACTTTATTAACTGGCGTTTTTTTTTTTCTTGTCTTGATGAAGTTTTTTGCTTGCAAAGCAGTATAAGCGTTTCTCGATAGTCCTTTGCACAGAAATTAATTCCTTCCTTTCTTGAGTTTTTTAAACAATTTTTTTTCAAATATTGCTTTCTCTTTGTTTTAGAAGGCAATGGAAATCCTAATGAAAGTTAAATGCCCGTCGTCCTCTACAAGCGGCGATTCTGGACATTCCACTTTAAAGATTGTCGATCATCACCATCAATTGCATCAACAGTATAACTCGTCGAGCTCTGCTAATGTGAAAACTGCTCATCCAATTCAGCAAAATTTAATGCCTTCAGCTTCAACTTTTATATCAGGCAATAACAACTCTGATTATTCTCTCGCATCATCGTGTAGTGACTGCTCTCTCGGTTATTGTTGTAACATGTCTTCGTGTTGTGTTACTTCACCTCCTCCTCCATTACGCACCCAAATACCGCCGGGACCACCTCTGGCACCGCCTACATCACTTCTTCCTCCACTTCATCACTTTCCTACGGAAGAAAATGCCTCGTATGAGTACGAAGAGCCTGAAGAGAATTTTGTATCAATTGATGATGTTAAAATAAAAAACTTTCTTTTAAAGATTGGTCAGAAAAAGCAACAACTACAACAAGAAAGCCATTTACAAAGTGCTCCACGACCTATAAAAGAACCAAGAATAACCAAGATATTCTCGACAACGGGTGATGGCGTTACGCCAGCGCGACCTGTTGTTTATGAGATAATCGAGCTGGACGATGAAGAGGAAAGGGAAAGACTAAAACGTATAAAACAGCAAGCAGAAAAATGGCAAGCGAATCGCCGAACCCCTTCGCATTCAGATATAAGCTTAGCAGTACGACAAACCAAATCCTTGGATATTAGTTTAATTCCAAAATATCCAGAGAGTGTAGCAAACGTCACGTCTATGAAAGTGAAATCAAAAAATACGAAAACTGACACGTCTAAGCAGAAAATCGTCGCTGAAATAGACTTACTTGACAGTAGCAGTAATTCAACCAACAACGATGTTTATAACGACGATGATGACTCTCTTCCTCTGGTTGCCTCTGCTGTTAGTTGCGAACTTCAGTGCGACGACGACGATGATAGCAGCGACAACGAGAGACTACAAAGTAGAATTTACGCCAACAAAGCGAGGACCTTGGACCGTAAAAAGAGTCCGGATGAAGTTGTCGTTTTAGGTTCGGATGACGAAACTAACGATCAGGAACAAGATAACCATTTACTTGTGCGCTGGAGTGACTACAGCGATCAAAGAGAACGAGTGTTTTTCGAATGTTTTTTGTGCGGCAAAAAAGTTCAATCCAGTTATAACTTGCGACGTCATATGATGATTCACACTGGTAAGTAAAAAGTTTCGGATGTTACCACAATAAGCTTTAAGTGCGTGTTCCTAATTTCTTTATCGTTTATCGTAATACTTTGCATGCATTTTCAATCTTTAGGCGAACGTCCATTTAGCTGCGATTTATGTGATCGTAAGTTTCGTGAATTCAGCGACCTGAAGAAACATCGACGCCGACATGCTAATGAAGCTAATTTTGTGTGCATGGTATGTCATGAGTACCCACCAATCGAAAATGATCCCACGCGATGCATTAATTGTTGTACACAATCAAAGAATGCGGTAATAATGGCTGCTATGAGATCGCGCGATTCAAGCTCTCCACCTGAAAAACCATCACAAAACTCAAACAATACCAGATTAACAACGTCAGCAGCAATTAAAACATCGCCGAGTCGAAACTTTACACCCAATTCAACTGTAAGTAGTTGCACACCATCACCAGCCTTAACGCAATCGCCGAACATGATTGATAGTCAGGCAAACACAAATCCTCAAAACGGTACTGTGCAGGAAGCTCAACATCTATTAGATAATATACCGGCTGTTCATCGGCCAGGTTACAATCAATTGGGCATGATAACGCGTAAAGAATTTCCTTGTCCGTTGTGTCATCGGGCTTTCGGTTCACGTCACAATTTGAAACGTCACTACATGATACACACAGGGGAGAAACCATTTAGTTGCAGCCAATGTCGTAAACCATTTCGGGAATATTCCACACTTAAGAAACATATGGTTACGCATCAACGGGATCGTTGGTATAAGTGTTCACGTTGCCCTCAAAAATTTCGCGATTTCTTGCAATATACCGAACACCGGAATTCGCATCCTATCGAAATCGACGATAATGATAACGAAACGCCATTCGTATCGAACGAAGTGAGTCCTTGCAAAAAATCAAGAATTATGCGCGATGATTCCAACGACGATGATTCCTCATCTGACGAGTGGCTGGAATGTTGTGAATGCGGACAACGTTTCACCGAAATCGATAATTACAATGAACATTTGAAACAACATGACTCGAAAGCGCAATTATACGAATGTTATATCTGCAAACAACATTGTAAAAATCGCGATGATCTGGATGCACATTTGGACGGACATGAAGAAGACACCAGTTAAAAGTGAGGGAATGTAAAAGAGAAAATATATTTTCTTTACTTGGTACTTAAGCAGCAGATAAGAAATTTTTATAAATCTGAAAATAGGTACAAATACGTTGTGGCCTCCCCAAGACGATGAAATTGTAAACTATCTACTATGATATTTATCCAGACTGTTTTTTTTAGTATTCTTTCTCCTTGAATTCGTCGTTTAAAAAGTAGTATAGCATACCACCAAGTCGTTAGAGAAAAAAACATTATAAGTAGCCTTCGGAAAAGCAATTGTGTTCACTGGATATGCTCGTCGGCATTTGAAGTTTTTTTCTTTTTTTTTTTACTTTATTTCATTTCAATTAACATATGCTGAAAGCATGTCTTGAAAAATCAGTTGAAATTCCAATCGACCTAATTGTCCTGCTGTGGAATTTCTAATCTTGATGCAATGTTTTTGTTAAACCATGTTCAATGGCAAATCTAGTACCGTATCATCCTTGGCTTAGTTGATGAAGAAGTAAAAAAGCATAACAGGAATTGTGAACGAAAATATGTGCAAGGAATCAAGAAATGGGAGTCACTCTTTTACATACTATTCAGAAGTAGTATGTGGAAATGCATGCAATGGTTAAATAGCTCCCTTAAGTAGAAGCGCTGCAAATTTATCTATTGAAAGTCTGAAACATTTTACCAAAGCTCGCTCTCAGCTTTCTCTTCAAGATCATATCGCAATTGATTAAACAAGTGACCTAGTACTTAGATAAACGATTGGAAATATCAGCTTTCCGATTAAGGTCTATAAATGAAGCCATCTCTATTTTTATTAAAACTCCCTCCCCCCGCTCTTTTTTTCCGTTGACTTTTTCACGGACATTTTTAAAAATGCTACAGCTCTGCCGAAAAACAGTAAAAGTTTGAGAACTATTCTGAATCATTTAGAATTGGTTTGTGTGTAAAATTTTGTTTCTCAGAGATCATGGCTTACCGAGGGACGAACTATGCTCGCTTTTCCTTCCATTTATAATACATAGAAGTATAAATTTTTTTAATCCCACAATGCATATGTATTTCGGATTAGAGTAGTATCCAGAGTCAACTTCGCCAGAGCGCTTTCTCGATCTGAATTTGACTGCGCACAGCCTTAAGATGAAAAATTAAAATAGAAAAGTGGAATCTGGAAAATTAACGTGATTGATCTATATAGAAATTAATAGCATGTATATTTATCAGCAATTTGAAGAAGAAGAATTATCCGGGACTTCAACGAAAAGACGAGCATGACTGATCAACGTCATAATGGGAAGAAAACGACAAGTTAAATGCCTTTAAGCGATACCGCCAGCTAGAAATCGAGTGCCATTTCAGTGCAAATTGGCGAACTGATGCGCCCAAAATGCAAATGAATATCTCGCTAAGCTGTAAGCGGTCGTTTCAAAAAATCAATCCTAAGCAAATTTCATTCGATCATTTATTTTTCTACCAAATCGTTAACCTTAATAGGTAACCTTTGATAATCGTCGAATTTTCTCGAACTCATTTTTCATTGAAATAGACCTCATTTATTTTTTAAAACCACTTTGCTGAGCGTATTTTTTTTTTTTTTTTATTTATTTTTAATTGTAGTCTTTGAATCGGAAATGATTTATTTTTTTACAATTTTGAATTTCATGACAACATTATGGAAATGAATAGATTACGGATGTTTAAGATAACTGTTTTAAGGAAGAATGCAGTTATATTTATATATTGAACTTTTTTTTTTTTTTTTAAATAGTTTTATAAAAATCGTCTAAAATATAAGAAAAATTTTAGAAGGGATATACAAGTTTTTTTTTTTTTTTTTGTTTTTTTTTTCTAATTCATTTTCGAAATGAGAAGAAAGCTTTTTATTCTTTGCATACATTAGCCATAATAAAAATGGTTAAATATTATAATACTTAGATAAATGAATTGAATTTTTTTTTTTTTTAAGTTTATATTGAAAAATTGAATTGAAAGTTATGCTAAGAGAAAATATCAGAATGGAAGACTACAATGCATTGTACGTGTCTCTTCTTTGTTTTTTTACATTCCTTCCCACACACGAATCGAATACAAGCATTCCCGAAATGTTGCATTTTTTTTTTTTGTAAGTAATAAAGTATTATATGAGATTATGACTTAAATTTTCTTTTTGTTTTGTTTTTTTTTTTTCATATTTTTCTTTCTTCATTAAATAATTTATATATTTAGGTGTTAAACGTTAAGAAAGAATATCCTTCCTTGTTAATTATAGTGCAATTGTATGTGAAAAGCAAAGAAAAATATATTAAAACGCATAAAAATTATTTGCATACGTTTTAATTTAAGGAATTGCTTTAAACCGTGCTTTTATTATATATATCTATCCTCTTTATCTCACTACTATCTCTATCTTTTTCTCTCTTTTTATGTGTTATATAAACGGATAAATGCACTACAGCGATTTTTATGTAATATTATAAATAGATAAGTTATTCAATTGTATATATATTATAGATTTTCTCGAAATCATTCCGAATAAAAAAAAGAAAAAAACAAAAAAAAAAAAAAAGAAGAAAATAAGAAGAAAAAAACAGGCAACAACAAACGCATTAGCATTTAAAATTTTTTGCATTTTAATGTCGACTTGATATTTTGGATTAATGGTTATATTAAGGTCTAAAAGATATTAAACAGTTATTATATATATTTATAATAATGTATATATGCATGTGTATATATATATATATATATTTAAGCACATATACATACATATTTATGTATATAAAGTTCACAAAAACTGATCTAAGAAAAGTTTAATTTAATTAAATTACGAATTAATAATTAATTAATTAATAATCTATTCAACTATACATATAAATATATATATATATATTTATATATATATGTATATATTGTTTTAAAACTATATATTAGATAGTGAGAGGTAGTACTAGAAAGTGAAGAAGATTTGAAAATTTCATTAAGTCAGAATGTATTGCAAGCTGTTTTCATTTTGCTTTGTTTCGCCTCTCACTTACAATTTTAATTACAAATTAATTTTATATATACACTCAAGGATATAGATAAACAATTTTTGTGAAACTCATACAAAAGAAGTAAATTTCAGAAGTGAATGTTTATATCCACGTATAAGGTGTGGTTATGAACAAAGCAAAAACGAAAAAATTGAAAAAAACAATAATTTAAAATCAATGATTAAAGTTAGAAAGAATGGTTTGGAAAAAAGCTTAGGTTTGAGCATAAGTACTATATATATTTTTTTCTTTTTCTCGGAATAATAATTTGCGCATATTTATAGATTACATAGGCCATCGCTTAATTATTTAAATTCCAAGAAGTTATTTCAAGTTTAAATCGGACCTTTCAGTTATAATATATAACTTTTATTTAGAATTTTAAATTTTATTTTCCAACACTAAAGGTTCACGACTCACATTTGAAATCGAATTGTTATCGTGTTGTTGTTCACCGCCGCCACCCCCACAACTACCGCCTCCACTGCTGCTATTACTGCTACTGCTACTGCTACTACTACTACTACTACTACTACTACTACTGCTGCTGCTGTTGCCATTTACACCGACCATGCTATCATGATTGACTATGAATTTTTTGGCACCACTTAGACCTTGCTTATTGATGAAAAAGTGTTTTTGTCCCATGCCAAGACTGGCGGCACACTCCTCCGCAACTAATTTATTTAGAAAACTTGGTTTCGTGGCACTATCACATGATGAAGACTCTATACTCATACTTGAACAGCCACCAATCGAAGATGTTTCACTTTTCATATCGTCCATCAAAGTGGCATCATCTTGGATGTCGTTGGCAGATCGTACCTTTTCAGTCTCACTTTCTGACACCGATATTCCTTCGTCAATACTGTTCGCAATGCACATAGGTTCTCCATAGGTTCTGCTTGTTTGCGTTTGCAGTTGCATTGAGGAGCAAAGACTGGCTTGCATTGTTGTGGCGTCTATGGCAGCGCTGGGTGTGCTATTTGGCGAAGCTGACATAGGCGAAGAACAAGTGGAGTTTGTCGTATTTGTGTGGCTGGTGCAAAGCTTAGATATGAATAATTTTGGTGTTATACGACCATCATAGGTGCCCGAATCGGGACTCGGGCATACTGATGACGGCGATTGGCAACTAGGCGAAGAACCTCGACTGTAAGAAAATGACATCCCAAGAATTAAATGCAAGTCATCTTAAACACACATACACACACACACTAAAAATATTTACCTCTCCGTGAAAATTTTCTTCATGGGTGGTTGTGAGTAAATGTTCCAGTTGTTTGCACTATTATCATCTAATTCGAACTTTCTTTTAACCGGCCCGAGTTGAGAGGGTCGCATAGCAATCGGTGACATTGAACGTCTTGTGGCAAACGTACGGCGTGTTGGTGAGGGAGATAAGCCATAAGGAAGCCTCATACCAGCACGATTGCTAAAACCGAAAAGGGAACATTTTTGTAGTTCAATCGATTATAGCGAAATAAATTGAAATAAAATCATTCCTATTACCTAGTCGGACTAGGACTGGAACAGCTATTAGCTGCTGATGGCAATACGACTTGTAGAGGATTGCTTAAATCATCTGATTTGCAAGACCAATTTTCGGCTACTAATGTCAAATCTTCCCAACTCTGAGACATTTGCATGACGCTATGCACTTCGCGCTCATGATTAATTTCCCGTGAATTCATATCTATACATTCTTCCTGTCGTAATTGCGACACACGCGGCGTGACGCAACGCGAACTGCCCGGAGTGGTAGCGCAGTTAACTCCGCCCACTGGACTATAACTGGCCGAATAGCGTCGAGCTCGCGGAGCAAATATATTGAAAACTGGAGCTGGCGAAACCTCTCTAGATAAACAACATAATTTATCCTTTCGATGTAAAAAGAGTTTTAAAAATGATTAAAAAAAATTAAAAACTTACCTAGACGATGGATTTGAACGCGGTATACCAATGTTTAGAGCACTTGTATTGTTACCCAAAATGCAACCAGTAAGCATAGAATTTGCTCCGTTGGAATTGTCTGTGAGAACTGTTTGCGTTTTCTTTGGTAAATCCTGTTCGTTAGTTGTACATCCACCAAAATTGCCAGCAGCTTGAGCAGCAGCGGCCGCAGCTGATCGCGTGGTTATACTTGATGATTTCAGCGTCAACCTTGTAGGCGGTATTATAGGAACACTTAAGCAACGCTTAAGTATCTTCGTTGTATTTACATTTTCACTCGATATTTCGCAGTTGGTCGTCGAGTTCACCTTTGAGACAATTGAGTTGATTTTCTTGATGGCATTATCATTACCTGATGGTAGTTCTTGCAAATTGACTTCCATTTCTAGAACTTCAGCTATTTTTTTCTTTTTTTTTTTCTTCTTTTGATCTACGACAATCACCGTCAAGTCACCGTATCGACGTGTCAAAGACGCTGATTTCTAATGTTTTTATTTTTATTAATAACCACAGCAAGATGTGTTTTCGAAAAAAGGCTCGCCTTTTTTTGCTCCTTTTTAATGCCCGACGAGAGCTGTATTAATTATAGAAAAAAAAAAAAATAAATAAACCGTGCAATTATTTGACAGATTGCCTCAAAAAATAACAAACGAACAAATGATCAACACAGAGATAGTAAGAGAATGCAACGTTTCACAAGAGAGAAAAAACAACCAATAAATGGTAAAAAATAAACAAAACAAATACAATTAACGCTGCCAGAGAATTTCGCGTCACTAAGAATTTGAAAAAGTTCTCTTAGCACAAAACAAAATTATGTGCGCAAATAAACAAAAATTATGAATAATTTTTTTTTTTTTTTTTTTTATGATTTCAATGCTGAACTGCTATTCAAAATACTGCAAATTTCACTCTTTCACAAATTTTCCATCTTTTCATAAGAGTAGCTTAACCAGTTAAATATGAAAATATATTTGTGTTCTGTTTGATGTCGATGCCAAGGATTGTCAACTAAAAAGTCGAATGGAAAGACAGACAGACTGTTCAGCTGTTTAGAGGAAGAATTACTTTGCATTTTATTGTGATGATTTGTTGTTGTTGTTGTGTATCTTTTTACTGGCTTAAGCATTTCCTAAAATATGCACGTAATGGGGTACACGAAATTTTAAATGAACTTTAACATAACCCTATGCAGCAGTATTCCAAGTACTTTGAGTTCTACTGGAGAACCCGGCAAGAACAAACATGACAAAGAGAGAAAAGAGAGAAAATTCAATACAATTTCAGCGTAATCCTGTGGTGTCAGTAGATGTCCTTAGAGCTATTAAACCAACTCTACGGTGATAGCACGGATATCAGTAGGCCACGAAGCAATCTTCTAACTTTGGCCTGACAGTGAGAGCGGGCCACTGCGGAAGATCCTTGACGCATTTGGTTTACTCAAATCCGTAGTTTTAGGCCGCTCGCCCCGGCACTCTGAGATTAATCATCGTCAGGGCGTAGAGTCTAAGTTTTCGCACTCCGTGAGTCTCGCTTAACAGTACGTTTAAGCCTCCACGGCAATGTATCCTCGTAAAATACAGATTGGGCACACCCAATAAGCTGTAGTCATTATCTCTCTATCATTTTCTCTTTCCTGACTTGTTTCTGCCCAACACCGAAAAGAAATGAAATATCTGAAAAGATCTATATGCTGCAGCCATCGCAGATTGAAGATAGAGCGAACAATTTTTTTAAACTTAAGAGCGTTTTTTATGAAACCAAGTTTTACGAAATTGCCGCACTACCAGGTTTCCGTCAATTTTCATTTAAATGCCTCATTCTTGGTAATTTATTTTCAGAGAATTAGAAGATGATGAAGGAAAAAATTAATCACGTATGCATTTTGTTTTTTTTTTAAAAATTCAAACATACACTTTTTGTTTTTTGATCCTGCCGTCCCATGGGAAAAATCTTGGTATTTATATCCTACACCATTCGTGGTGCAAAGGTATATTTAATTTTGTGCAGACGTAAGTAAAACCGACGAGGATCTCACATAGACGCGTCTAAATCAATTTCTGAATCAAACTAACTCTGTCTGTCCGTCTCATATCCGTGTGTTTATTCCACAGATTGCAATTTTCGAGATATTTTATGTTTGGACGTTATTGCAATTGCCCCCGCAATGCCTGACTTGGAATCTCTATGTTAAGTGAAGGGCTGTGGGGTTTTCAAAGATCCGACGTGACCTTGGCCGACTAAGGTTTTTATTTGTTCTAAGTTAAGATGTTATGGTTAGCGAATGAAAGTTCATCTTACCTCTTCATGGTAGCAAATTTTTTAATGCTATGTTTAGAAAAATGTAATTTTTAAACGCATTGAGAGAAAAAACAGAAAAAAGGATGTGTAATAGGTACGCAAGTAATAGTATCACATCTCCCATTAGAAACTTTTTTTTTTCGGTTTATTAAAATAACAAAAATCGCTTAGGTTTTAATATTTGAACGCATGGAGAAGCGTGAAATCTGTAGCGTGCAAACAAGTAGTCATAATGTATTGCAAAAATACTTACAATTTATTTTGTCCAAAGGTTTAATTCAATCCTACCCTTTGCTATTTAAAACGGCTTACTATGGTCAACTCCTCTACATATCTAATTTTACGTAAATAAAGTCGAGTTTGTTGGTTTTTCTTGGATAAGTCTTTGAAGTTGAGGTTGAATAATAAAAATCCTCCGTTTTATTATTAAATTACTCTCATAGGCGGAACTTTGAAAACAATATGCTCGGCCCACGCCCAAATGCATTACGAACTTAAATCATCAATTATATATATACATATATGTGTATATGTATATACATGGTCAATTTAAAACTGCCTTCCATTGTAGATTAGTTTTTATAAACATTATAAATAGAGTTACGTCTTACTTAATTAAGCATAACGCATTGACATGTCCATAATTACAGAAAAGCGTTACTCCATTACAAAATGTTTATTTTCGACACTAGACAGCATACCAACCGATAATTCCCGAAACGGATACGTAAGATATAAACCAATGAATTCAAAGAACGGTGTATAGATGTGGCCACTATTAGTGAATTCTCTACTTTCGAGTTCGTCAAGCAATGGAATGAATTTCGTACATAGCCGTGCCATTAAAACAACTGTTGCCTGTAAGTTAATAGTCATCTGCATTCGTCAATAGTCATCGTAAATCTATATGATTTCGTCTTTATTAAAAAATCGAAAGCATTTTTAAAAAAGAGTCAAGCCTCAAACGGTTGGCTACTGTCAAAATTTAAGATAATTTCGATCATTTTTCTAAGATTTGCAATCGTTTTAATAGCATAGCTTTTCTTATTTTCAAAACAATGAAAAATTCGAAAATTTGCCCTTTGATGGGAAAAGACACTGCTCAAAGTCGGCACTGATCGGAAATGTATGTGTGTGTTATGGTATTACGTCAAAAACAAAAATTTCTGGATATTTTCTGGATGTGATCGTAAATAAAATCGTATGCGCATGAATGTTGTTGAGCTCAGTTGACGGCCAAAAGGGATATTTACATTTACGTCAGAAAATATCAAAAATATTTCGAAAATTTTTCTTGACAACTGTAGCAAGTGAAGTTGCAGGAGATAATCGATATTCAATAGGTCGACAAAACAGTCGAAGGATTACCTCCTTCAGATAAGGCCTCCAATGGCTATTATCTGTTTACAAAAGGTTTAAAAAGATTTTGCAAACCTTTTAGCAAAAACTAAAGCGTATTCCAAGAATGCGGATAAATCGTTTTACACGGAAGCATCGAAATATTAGAGAAACGTTCGACTGATTATATTATCTTCGAATGAGACTATGTCGTTAATTAATAAACTCGAATCTTGTAAAAAAACAAAAACTTTTCTTTCCTATATAGCTCCGGGAAACACTAATCGTTCTATTAGTATGCGCTTGCAGTACAGTTTACATAACGATGAAGAGATTTGTACGAATTGTGTACAATTTTCTGAAAAATAGTTTTAAAACTTAAACGAACGAAAAAATTTTCCTGGAATCGACCGACCTACGGACATAATTTTCTACAAATTATAACCTTTATGACTAGGGTAAGAAGAAGTTCATAATAAATATCGCTTTGTTAAGACTTGGAGCTCATGTATTCCATAATTAAATGCTAGCTCTTTGCATTCATGTCTTTAAAAATTGTTATCCGCGAGGAATTTTCTTCAAGTGTAGAGTCCAGAATAGTTGACGATTTCTTGCGAATGTGTCCGAATAGAATGGAATCCGGGTAATATTACTTAACGAAAAATATTTAAATTTATTTTCTGCTAATATTGAAAATTGAGGAGAGGAAAGCCAAACTTTTTTGGTTTTCTACATTTTTCCAATTAATTCAAACTGATGGCTGTATCAGTAGTGTGGGTCGCAAGGTACATTAAGTTTGTTGTACACCCACATGGACATGTGCGTCTGTCCGATGGTTGTCTATCCTGACCTACCGAACCTAAAGTATTTTCATGAAAATTGTTATGCCGACGTGTTTCCCATACAAAGACTCATTTTGAAAAGTCGTCACATGAAGATATATAAGACAGAGATCTTATAACTGTATTAATCGAAATGGTGTTGAGCAGTTAATAGTTGACCGAGGCCGACTGTGATGTTTTTACTTTTACTGCCTTTCACTTATTTTACAAAATATATGGATACAAAAAATAGCTCGCATCGTACGCAACGACATACGAACTTTACAGATTTCTTAAAATACCACTTTTTGTCGCCTTTATGGCGGTTAACAAATCAATGATTTATCTAGATCGGAAAACTCGATAGACGAAAAATCTTTTCTATCAATTAAATATGATTTAATTTAAGAAAATAATTTGCCGGAAATTTTTGACATACCGATGCAAAAAGCACCGAAAGACTTACAGTTTTTCGAAGGTGCCATTTGCGAAAGTCCATCACAGTAAAATCCGAAAGACGTACAGTCAGAACATTAGCGTTGCCTGTCTTTTCTCAGAATGCTTAATATGCTAAAACTTCACTGTTTCAGTGAACTTACGCAGAGCACGATCGAAAATGGATCCAAAATGTCTATAAACAAATCGACAGATTGACAGATTCAGAGAGAAAAATATTATTATTATTATATTATTATTACAAATTTAGCCAGAGAATAAATTGTAAGACAAAAGTCTTAAAGTGCTAGCATCTAAGGGTTTCGGCTTTTATTAAAAACTCTACCGCACTTGAGATTCGAACCCACGACTATTGACTTGCTAGTCGAGTTGTCAAAACGTTTGCGACGCCAAGAATGAAGCTTCAGAGACCCCACAAACTATATACGTTCTTGATCAGTATTAAAATCTGAATCGGTTTAAACATGTCTGTCTGGCCGTCTGCACAATGTCTGTTGCGAACACGTCCCTGGCCGCAAAAATTATGCTATCAACTTCAAATTTGACAGCAACATTGCAAGCTCTTGCATGCAGGTTGGTAATGAAAACGGGTGAAATCGTCCAAAGGATACGCCTACAGTATCACGAATTATGAGAACACCTCTGTTTTTAAAAGGAATGAAAAAATGGTTTTTGGCTCATTATTCATAAACTATAGCAGATAAATCCACAAAAATTTGACCGTATATTCTATGGGCTATGGTGCAGTATCGGTATAAAAGTTAATCTAAATTTAATTGTTTTTTCTTTACAACGCCC